ATTATGGTTTTTGTTAAAATTATTGGCATATATCCATTGGATTAACAAAAATCAATTAGAATTCAAAACTATAATTTGCAATTTAGGTAGGCTCAGAGAATTATCTGACACCTTTTATTGTACATGACTATGTCAGAATATGACTTATTCTACTTGATGTAACCTCACAGTAACTAACACTACTAATATAATCCAATGCTCATGATGACATTTCCCAGGGTTCTTAGAGAAAAAGAAATTAGTAGATTTTTAGCAATCCTGGTCCTGTATTTTTTACATGAAATTTTCAGGACACAAATCATTGAATTAATATTTTGGAGAGTTAGTTTTATTGTACACTAAAGGCAAGCTGGTGGGCTGCAGGAATTAGAGGAACAAATCCCTGACAGAGTAGACAGGACGGGAGAGATCTCTGTACCTCCATACCAGCACCCTCTCCAAGTCCACTACCTCTAAGCCACTATGTTGGGGGTACAAGTCTTTTTGAGAATCACTGGTATAGAACACTAATGCTCAGAAGCAGAGGTGGGAAACCAAGGGCAGAGTGGGCCTTTCAGCAGCTACTAGGTTAATACAAAGCTTCAAAGCATTTTCCTGCCACTTTTCTCAAAGCAATGCTTCATCTAATGTCCAAGCAGGAAGAGAAAACCAAAATGCCATCGCTGTAAGCCCAATGGAACCCCACAGAGAAATAAGAGAACCTGCCTCCTAAGAGCACCCCACTTCAGGAGACCCAGCTCTCAAAAACGAGTCAAGCCAGAGCTCTTCACACAGAGCACAGTTGAGGGGTGTGAAGTAGAGATGCCTGGCTCTGAGGCTGTGTAACTTCAGGCTGGTCACTGAGTTTGCCCATGGCCCGCCTGCTTCCTCGTGAAGAGGGGCTGGACTAGATGACCTGCAATTCTGGGAATTTTATATTTGTCCCCACCAGATAATCTGACCTGAAGATTTAACATAGAAATGACTTAATTAGTTTTGGAGGGTGCGTAAAAGAGTTCTTCCAGTCACTTTCGCTGGACACCCAATCTACAGCCTCCTACAATCCCTTCCCTCCAAGGACCCAGCACACTAGAGCAACCTGTGTCTTGGAATGAAGCTATCATCCCTAAAGTGAGATCGTGACAGATTAATCTAATTCCCCATTGCCAAGTGGCCTGCTCCACAATGCTATCAGAAAGTCGGCAGAAGGAGGGGGCAGTAAGAACTAGATAGGAATTTTCATGGATAAGCTTTGTGAAGAACTAGGTTCCATAACAGTCTCCACTGAAATGAGCATTTAGATTGTTCTCATTCGGGACAACTAACTACTGCAATTGAAACTATTATTTTATAACGAAGGTATATTTTTGTCCTGGGGCTTGCATCATTAAGTAAGAAACAACAGTGTGAGCAATTCCCTGTGCCCACTCAAAATACCTCTGCATGCAAACACTCCAGCACTTAGACCACAACACCCCCAAGAAAGAAACTGTAGGATGCCTCAGCACATTCCCTAGATAGTTCTGTCATCAATTCAAAGAGTTCCCCACCTACCCTCTACCACCGTCCTACAGAGCAAATGCTGTCACTTTTCTGCAGGCATGCACGACTTTGCTGACTATTTCTTCTATTGCTTTTCCTCTTATATCCAACTCCTGTGCTCCAGGTTCTAGAGTGAAACTATCTTGGCTAAATCCCTTCCACCCCAACCCTTGCCTATTTTCTTTTTCCTTTCTTTCTTTTTTTGGACAACAAGGCCAAGAGAAGCAAAGGGACTACTTCACGCTTACGCACAGCTTTGATTTGCAAACCACTCATATGTCTATGATCTCACCCAGCCTTATAACAACCCAATGAGGTAAACTTGCTCCCCACCCCCACCAAATAAGGCATCGCTACCACAAAGGACTGCATGGCCATGGCACAGTGTAAGCACACGAGTGCCGGCTACTAGGCACTAGAAACAGCAAATACTCTTCTCACTCGTTTTATTAGTTAGAAACTGAGACTCAGAGATTGGACAGTTGATTGCAGGCAACTAAGCCTCTAGGGATCTAGAGCAAGCTGGGAAGGTGCAGGATTCTTCCTAATTGTTGAAGTCTTGACAACCACACATTTCCATGTGGTCTCAGCCACTCTGACAGGAAGGGAGCCTGAAGTTCCGATTCTATTCTCAGTTCTCTGCTAGCCACATACTCAGAGCTTTAGTTCTCTGGACCTTTGTGTTGCCCTCTCCATAATGAAGGCAGACTCGAGGTTTTTTTTGTTTTGTTTTTCTGTTTTTTAAGACCAAACAATGGAAATGTCAAGCTTCCAGACGAAAGGCTCCATTACAAGTACAAAGTTTAATTACACTGCTGTTCCGGTTATCTGTTTCCCAGCTTGCTCGCTCCCACCGGGCGGATTCTGAAACCACACAGGAGATTATGTCAAGAGGGGAGAACAGGAGAAACATTCTCTCCCTGAACTTTCTTAAATGGAAGAGAGAAACGAAATGAAAAGAAAGGCCCCTTTTCCAAGGAGAGGGCTGGGTTAATGATCTTTCGGTTAAGCAGACCTGCATAAGAATCTATAGATTATTTAATGCCGGGGGTGGCTGTGGAGCGAAATAAAGGGATCTTTGTGCAATGCCAGCTTTTTTTTTCCCCACAGCCAGGCATTTAACCCAACTCTTTAAATCATCAAGCTCTAATGCACCCCATCTGTGCAACAGTGGTAGCCAATGAAACCGAAGCCTGTGCTGACTTTGGCCTGGATTTGTGAATAAGCCTTTCTGCCCCAAAAGGGGCAAAAAAGAGGCTATGAAGCCAACAAAGTCTTTTTAGCTCATCACTTGTCTTATCCCAAGGCACAAGCTTCATCCATCCGTTTATTTGATCATTTATTGAGCTCTTGCCATGGGTCAGGTTCTGACCCGGAGATACAAAGCTAGTAGGAAATGACCCCAGGTGGAAAAGGATGTTTAAGAGCTCCTAGGAGAGAGAAAGTGAAGAAAAGGGGCTGCTCTCGGCTGAGGCACAGAGGCCTGAAATTCCCCTATCTGTATGTTCAGGGAATGTTGCTTAGTTCCAAGTGGTTGGAACATAAAGCAAGGAACTGGCAGGAGATCTAACTCGAAAACTAGGCCTACCCAATCATCAAGACTGTGTATTTGGCCAAAGAGAGAAGACAGAGCTTTGAAGGCCATTACCATCTCCACATATTCACTTCAATCCATCTTACACGGTCCAGCTCAATCCCACCTCTTCCAGAAATCCTTCTTGAACATGCTCAAAGTAACTGCTCTCTCTTCTTTGAGCCTCCAATTTGAGTTCTTGGACAACTTTTATGAGACTCAATTTCTCTATCCATATAAAAAATGACTAACATCACCTACCCTGCAGGCTTCTTATGAGAGTTAAGTAAGATAACAGTTATGCAGTGTCAAGTAGCAGTTTTTAGTACAGAGAAGGTGCTAAAATACATTTTACTGGTACCTCATTTTCTTATGATACATAGCACTTCTTTCTGGTATTAAAAAAATGTCTTGGCTTTCACTTTCTGCATAGATT